AGATTTGCAGTGGTCTGATGCTCCTTCCATTTCAATATTATCGCTTGCACAGTGCTCCTTGGGATGTTTAAAGCTTGGGAAATCTTTTTGTATCCACATCCGGCTTTAAAGTTCTCCACAACAGTATCTCGGACCTGCCTGGTGTGTTCTTTGTTCTTCATGATGCTCTCTGCGCTTTAAACGGACCTCTGAGACTATCACAGTGCAGGTGCATTTATATGGAGACTTGATTACACACAGGTGGATTCTATTTATCATCCTTTGTCATTTAGGTCAACATTGGATCATTCAGAGATCCTCACTGAACTTCTGGAGAGAGTTTGCTGCACTGAAAGTAAAGGGGCTGAATAATTTTGCACGCCCAATTTTTCAGTGTTTTATTTGTTAAAAAAGTTTGAAATATCCAATAAATTTCGTTCCACTTCATGATTGTGTCCCACTTGTTGTTGATTCTTCACAAAAAATTACAGTTTTATATGTTTATGTTTGAAGCCTGAAATGTGGCAAAAGGTCGCAAAGTTCAAGGGGGCCGAATACTTTCGCAAGGCACTGTACAAACTGACAAACTGGTAATGGCCAACCAACCGGACATAGTAGTGGTGGACAAACAGAAGAAGGTCACAGTGATAGTTGTAGCAATCCCATGCGATAGCAACATCAGGAAGAAGGAAAACAAGAAGCTGAAGAAATACCAAGGGCTGAAAGAAGAGCTAGAAAAGATGTGGAAGGTGAAGGCACAAGTGGCCCCTGTGGTAATAGGAACATTGGGGGCTGTGACCCCCAAACTGTGAGAGGGGCTCCAACAAATCCCAGGAACAACATCTGAGATCTCTGTCCAGAAGAGTGCAGTCCTAGGAACAGCTTAGATACTGTGCAGGACCCTCAAGCTCCCAGGCCTCTGGTAGAGGACCAGAGGTTGAAGGAAGTAATACAAGCTTTCTGCATTAGCAAAAATTGAAGAAAAGGTGTTTGGAGTAACAGTGATTTGATGGGTAGAGCAGTTGTCTCCCAACTGGAAGGTTGAAGGTTCGAATCTTGGTGCCTGCAGTCCACATGTCGATGTGTCGTTGGGCAAGACACTGAACCCGCCCCTGATGGCGGCGAGTATGCCCGCAGGGGCCCTCGGCTCCAAACATAATTTTGTTGTATGTGTCACAACATTAGAATGACAATAAATAAAGCTTGTTCTTCTGATGTTTTGTAGCTCTTCTCTGGTAAAGGTAATCCAGGATGGGTTGCATAAGACAGAAAAAACGAGGAAAACCAAACAAATGAGAGAGCATACTACCATGCCAGCACAATGATGTTTCCACACATGGCATATTTATTCCATGATCTGAAGAGGGCTGTACATAGCAGACAACCAAGCAACCTGGTAGACTTGGAACAAGTCTGCCATGAAGAATGGGCTAAAACTACACCTGACATGATCCAAACACTGCTCAGAGGATACCCAAAGATGTTGGAGGAGGTTAGGGAGGACATACAAAGTATGAGAGAACATTACATAAAGGGGGACACAAACTTTTGCACTGATATGATTTTCATTATTTTACCATAACTTTTTTTTATATGCTCCCTGACCATTTTTTGTCACCTCTGTTGATGAAGGAACATTTGTACTTGTTGTGCATTAAATATTTTTTAATGATAATAAAATTCCTCATTTTTTCTTTTTGCCATTTCAAAGTAAGGGGATGCAAACTTTTGTACCCAAATGAATATCATGTTTTCATCTTAAATATTATGAGAACATTGCTAAATGACAAGTAGTCCATTCAAATCTGTCTGTAGAAAAAGTAGGTAAGTGGTAAGTTTTTAAAGCTGAGCAAATTACAGCAACAATTTGGGGCTTACTTTTGAAATGTAAAATGACTGCCACCAAGCAGTGCTACCCAAATAAACATTATATTGTTATGTTGGTCACCTTTTGGAAAATTAACCATTAATGATCATATAGTACAGCATTGATTTGTCATTTGCGTTATAATGCCAAAAAAATTTACCAGGCAGCACGTTATCTTTCTTGTTACCTGCTCTTGCGTGTACAAATAGTGAATACTAATGACCATTGTCTCTGTGGGGAATAATTTTGTTTAAATCTGCAAGAGTGTATGAGTATCAAAATAAATAAAAGATAAATACAGGTAGCTTTATTTTTTCTAAATCACTGTTACTGAGAAGGCTGGCCTTTTTTAGCTTGAGCACATGCCACCCCAAAAATGTCTGTGCACTGCTCTAGAAGACATGGGCCAGTACAGATTAAGGAGATCATAGTGGTAGGCAGACCTGTTGCTGCAGTAAGGCAAGAATGTCCTCCACATCACTGTTGTCAAGGTTCTCCTGAGAGTGGATCTCCCACAGCGGAGGCTCATCTGGGTATTTCTCTACATATGTGAACCTTAGTGTTGCTTCCACAGCTACAAGAACAAAACAAACAGGTCATATACTCACAGTCTGCTATATTTTACTTCAACAGCTTTCAATCTTTTCAAAATCTTTCATGGCCATAACATCAGTAATAAATTCTAAATAACACAGAGTGAGATTCCATAACACTTTAAATGCCACCACATTATTCCCATCAGTATACTTACTTTCACCATTTTCCCCAGCATCTGATGTTACCGTGATGGTGAAGCTGGTGGGGGAATCTGAAAGCACTGCAGACACATGGATTAGGAACATCACTTTTGCTATTTGATAAAGGGGTCTGTCTTAATTTATCTTATGCTGATTACTACCTCTGATGTGGCCTTGAGAAAGGTTACAAACTTTCTATAGGTAGATTATCAGCGATGCACCGATCGATTGGCAGAAACCTATCTGTTTCCGGTGTGATTGGCCCAGTTACTGACTGATCACTGAGCTTTCTGATTCTGTGCCGATCAGATTTAGAGGTATGACAGTCCATGTTACGTACGCAGTAGAACAGACCAAAAGCGTAGTGTGCACAGCACGTAGCATTTCGCGTGCACCTTGAGTGAGACTCACACTCATGTCTGTACTAGGGGCCTGTTTACTCATGCACTGGAAGCGCTTGGTGCACAAAAAGCGCACAGAGGAGGCTACAGAAACACCTTGGAGAAGGGAAAATGACATTCAAATCTCCGACAAACAGTACACAATGAGGAAATTACTGGCTAAACATGAAATGCATGTACAATGACCAGCCCCTTTAACAGGCACACCTGTACAATTTTATCCCCAGCTCCATACATGAGATGTTCAGAATATTAGGACCAACTCTGTAGTCCGGTACAATACTACCTTTAACTATGACCTCAATAAAAACTTGATAGAATGCATGCATTTATGACCATTTCACCAAAAACTGAATCATTTTGAGTTTCATAAAGACATATGTTAAGATTGAAGTGTTGCATTGAATTGCATACAATTAAACAGGTGTAGCTAATAAAATGACCAGTGAGTGTATATGTACAGTGCATCCAACCTGTGGTAAAATGGCAAATACAAACTACAAACAATTCAAAAAGAATTGTGTGCTCAGTAGGACTGATGTAACACCTATTATTCTGTTTGTACTACCTGTTGCACCTTCATATTTGGTAAAGTACAAATGTTGCACTTCATTCATTTTTAGTTGGAGGTTTGTAAAAATATATAAATAAATAAATAAAAGAAAAAATGAAAATCAGACAAGAAGACTGCAAAAGGCGCATCTGTAATAGATATTATTTTGAGGACAATAACACATTTTTATGCCTCATTACAGGTTCAAGGTACATATATTGACTGTGCAGCTCCAGTATAATGAACTCTTAAGTTACATCTATTAATTATTTTAATACACAGTATGATTAAAGCCATATTTAAGCCCCCCAAATACCTAAAAAACAGTACATTTATGTTATGCACCTAATATTTAGTGGGAGAGCTGACTGAGCAGCTTATATTATTATTTTGCCCTTTTTCAGTTGCAATCTCCTTCAACACTGTTTGGACTACAAATATTCAAATATCAAAAAGTGCATCTTCTTTGGTAGTTATTTTTTTCTATTTCTTTTCTGTTATTTTTGAACATTTTATTCAACTTTTCCCAGCTTTTTTAAATAATGATTTTTAATGGGAAAAATTTTCAAAAACTTTCATCTTCCTCTAAATTTTCCTTTTTTTGTCAGCTTCCTGCTTTTTCATACTTTGTGATCGAAATGTATGAGGGTTTATTCCTATCTTTAAACGGGAGTACAATCTTTCAATTTGAGAACATAATGCTACTGGGACTTCACACTCAAATTTACCTGCTCGCACTCAAAATCCTGTTCTCACACTTTCCTGCACTCACACTCGAACCCTTTTCTTACATATATGCTGCTGCTGCCCACTTGCAAAACCTCAGATCTTCTGCTCTCCTCCTGAATTTTTGTAAAATAATGCTGTCAAAATTCCCAGGCCAATACAATGCCAGCTAAGGTGTTAACCAAAGAAATGACTGTGGCTACATTTTGGATGCATTTGGTTTTTAGTGTCTCATGCAGGAGGGTACTACTGTAACACTGCTTCTTCATAGATGCTTTATTCCTTGGTAATTACTCTACTGTTCTGGTGTTGCCCCTCTTCTGTTAATACAAAACAGACAGAACATATGAAATATCAGTTTCTATAAAACTTTGACATGCTGCTCTGCCTTTCATAATATCCATAATCATACAGTGCAAACTGCCAGCCACTACACTTCTTCAATGCTTTTTCTCTCCTCCTCTCTTTTCCTATGGCCAGACACATGCACATTTCACACTGCATTATTTTTCCTCCTTACTATTTTACACTATAAACTAGCTACCGGCGCTTTGAGTTTGTTTTAATCAGGTTCATCTACTCCCATCATCCAGGATTTTATCAAATGTACTTTGCTTTTATAAACACCTTTTGGAATATATATACAGTGCCTTGCGAAAGTATTCGGCCCCCTTGAACTTTGCGACCTTTCGCCACATTTCAGGCTTCAAACATAAAGATATAAAACTGTAATTTTTTGTGAAGAATCAACAACAAGTGGGACACAATCACGAAGTGGAACGAAATTTATTGGATATTTCAAACTTTTTTAACAAATAAAAAAACGGAACAATTGGGCGTGCAAAATTATTCAGCCCCTTTACTTTCAGTGCAGCAAACTCTCTCCAGAAGTTCAGTGAGACACCAGGCAGGTCCGAGATACTGTTGTGGAGAAGTTTAAAGCCGGATTTGGATACAAAAAGATTTCCCAAGCTTTAAACATCCCAAGGAGCACTGTGCAAGCGATAATATTGAAATGGAAGGAGTATCAGACCACTGCAAATCTACCAAGACCTGGCCGTCCCTCTAAACTTTCAGCTCATACAAGGAGAAGACTGATCAGAGATGCAGCCAAGAGGCCCATGATCACTCTGGATGAACTGCAGAGATCTACAGCTGAGGTGGGAGACTCTGTCCATAGGACAACAGTCAGTCGTATACTGCACAAATCTGGCCTTTATGGAAGAGTGGCAAGAAGAAAGCCATTTCTTAAAGATATCCATAAAAAGTGTCGTTTAAAGTTTGCCACAAGCCACCTGGGAGACGCACCAAACATGTGGAAGAAGGTGCTCTGGTCAGATGAAACCAAAATCGAACTTTTTGGCAACAATGCAAAATGTTATGTTTGGCGTAAAAGCAACACAGCTCATCACCCTGAACACACCATCCCCACTGTCAAACATGGTGGTGGCAGCATCATGGTTTGGGCCTGCTTTTCTTCAGCAGGGACAGGGAAGGTGGTTAAAATTGATGGGAAGATGGATGGAGCCAAATACAGGACCATTCTGGATGGAAACCTGATGGAGTCTGCAAAAGACCTGAGACTGGGATGGAGATTTGTCTTCCAACAAGACAATGATTCAAAACATAAAGCAAAATCTACAATGGAATGGTTCACAACTAAACATATCCAGGTGTTAGAATGGCCAAGTCAAAGTCCAGACCTGAATCCAATTGAGAATCTGTGGAAAGAACTGAAAATTGCTGTTCACAAATGCTCTCCATCCAACCTCACTGAGCTTGAGCTGTTTTGCAAGGAGGAATGGGCAAAAATTTCAGTCTCTTGATGTGCAAAACTGATAGAGACATACCCCAAGCGACTTACAGCTGTAATCGGAGCAAAAGGTGGCGCTACAAAGTATTAACTTAAGGGGGCTGAATAATTTTGCACGGCCAATTTTTCAGTTTTTTATTTGTTAAAAAAGTTTGAAATATCCAATAAATTTCGTTCCACTTCATGATTGTGTCCCACTTGTTGTTGATTCTTCACAAAAAATTACAGTTTTATATCTTTATGTTTGAAGCCTGAAATGTGGCAAAAGGTCGCAAAGTTCAAGGGGGCCGAATACTTTCGCAAGGCACTGTATATATGCACGCAGTGGCCCGGGGCCCTTGGCTCCAAACATAATTTCGTTGTATGTGTCACAATGTTACAATTACAATAAAGCTTCTTATTTATACAATTCTCACAAACTCTTGCTGGTGAGACTTTTTTTTGTAAAATCTTACGCAATAGTTCACAGACTTCCTGGAATGGTTGTATTCTCCTGGCTGTGCGCAATCATGTGAACTTTCCTGACATCCACCGGTGCTATTGTAAAAGCAGAATTTTTCAACTGCATGCGGTTTTGTGGATATATTTTACCTCCTGCTTCTGCACTATGACCAGATGATGTGGAGAAAAATACAGGGCCTGAGGCAGTGTTGAATAAAGTACTTGAACGCCACACTTAAGTAGAAGTACATATTTTTTGTTAGAAAATGACTCAAGTAAAAGTTAGTCACCCATTCAAATTCTACCATCAGCTCTGGAGTGTGAAACTGAAACTTGTCTTACAATTATTATTTTTTACTTTCCTACATATGACAAGTCGACAATTAATATGCAAATCGACTAATTATCATAATCGATTAAGTCAATTAAGTCGAATAATCGCTACAGCCCTAATACATACACATACACACAGACACACAAACACCTACACTACACATCCATATATCTCCTCTTTGGCCTTCCTCTTGACCTCTTGCCTGGCAGCTCTATCTCCAACATCCTTCTACCAATATAACCACTATCCCTCCTCTGCACATATCCAAACCATCTCAATCTGGCCTCTCTGACCTTGTCCCCAAAACAGCCGACCTGAACTGTCCCTCTGATGTGCTCGTTCCTAATCCTGTCCAGCCTGGTCACTCCTAAAGAGAACCTCAACATCCTCATCTCTGCTACCTCCATCTCTGCCT